AATACTTCAATGAACATTGTATTGGACCATAGACGCATGAGCCAATCTCAGATGTACCATGCTACAAAGAAGTCACTGTAGAAATCTTGTGGGAAGCAAACACCAGGAATGTGTTACAGATCCTTAATACACATTTCATACAAGAGTTATAAATTAATATACCAGTGAATTATTAAAAAGTGCATGACTTGGGGATTTAATTACTGAGTTTGCCTTCATTACATTGATTGCATTCAATAAATGCTTTAATAGTTTATTGCTATTTAATTTCCAACAATTACTGTAGTGAAGATGAGATCGCTGTGGAGTTAGGAATTTTAATCTGATATGCAACCTGCCAGTTATTCACAGTTTAAGACCAAAGTAGTGATCCCAAAATGGCAAACCTTCCTGAACCTTGACCATTTGGCTGACTACTTCTGCTTTAACCTTTTACTCTAGTTCTGAAGACAAAGGAGCATGCTAGTATGACTTCTGAGACTTCAGTAGAATGGCATTGATACAACTCAGAGAAGCATACCACCCTGAATCTTCTGCCTATCCCTCAGTATATTAGCCGGGTGACACTCAGTTGCTTTAGAGGTGAAGCAATCAGATATGTTGCTCGTAACAATAAGTGGGGCCGTGGTGACCCCCCGCTTTGCTGTCGTGGCTAGTTAAAAGATGTAGGCCACATAGTTGCCGGCTGCAATCACCAGCAATGGCTGCCCGGTTCTCTCCTGGGCTTCCCTTAAACGGTCAAATCAAGCGAGTTACTCTAATCAAGCAGTCACCCTCTACACTTGATGAACACAAAGGGCTACATTTCCAGCGAGAACTTACTCGTGCTGGGTCTCCTCCTTTCGCTTGCCTCTCTGCTGTTGCGTGGCATTTGGGTCTGTGAGTTTCAACGGAAAAAATTTATGGGGAGCACTCTGGGGGCAGGGAATTTCCCTTCCATTTTGATGTTAATAGTGAAACCTCAGAACAGCGACAGAACAGGAAATAGAGTAGCAGTGAATTAAAGCTGCAGTCTGTGCAGACTGCGGGGCAAGGCTTTCAAATTAGGTTCTGCAGGATGCTTTGTATCCCTGAAGGAAGGCCTCAGAGGGGACTGGTATTAGAGTTAGTGTTGCCCAGGGGTTAGGTCATTGGATTAGCACTGCTCTTCTGAGCCCCATACGTCTGGCTCTTCCACTAACCTGCTGTGTGACCTTTGACAAGTTACTTCATCCGTCTCGGTTTCCCCTCCCACGCTGTGTCTGGCTCATCTGTTTATTGGGTGAGGTCTTTAAGGGAGGGGCTGTCTTTTGACTTGACGCTTGTGGGATGGCCACCCTCTTGGTCAACAGACTGGAGGCTGAACTGCCGAGCTGAAAGCCCGAGCTACAGAGCCAAGGCTCTATATCTAGGGAGTTGAATAACTCAAATCTTCTGTGGATTGGCACAGAGGGGGGAAACCTGTAACGTGCTCTCATTGGTGGGTTACATTTGTACAGTGCCTAGCACGGGGTAGCCCTGCTCTTGGCTGAAGCCTTTAGGTGCTGCTCCGATATGTGTAATACACCTCTACCCTGATATAACGCTGTTCTCGGGAGCCAAAAATTCTTACCGCGTATAGGTGAAACCGCGTTATATCAAACTTGCTTTGATCCGCCAGAGTGCGCAGCCCCGCCCCCCCGGAGCGCTGCTTCACCGCGTTATACCCGAATTCGTGTTATATCGGGGTAGAGGTGTAATATGATTTACGCTTTCATACAGAAAGACATTCCTCGTGGTCAGGTCATCCTAGTCCATTGACTCCTATTCAGTTACGGTGACCAGACAGCAAGTGTGAAAAATCGGGACGGAGGTGGGGGGTATTAGGCGCCTATATAAGACAAAGGCCCAAATATCGGCACTGTCCCTATAAAATCAGGAGATCTGGTCACCCTATATTCAATGCAGGATCCAGGCCAAAACTGTTTGCCTTAGTTTTTAAAACTCTCCTTGGACTTATCCCTTATGATTTCAAGAACCTTGGTGTGCGGCTGGTTGGATTCTCACGCCTGCTGACGCAGCCTCTTTCTGCTCTTTCCCACCATCTCATCAGACCATTCCTGGGGTGTGGGTGCAAGGTTCAAATTCCTCAGCCCCTTTGCTGCAGAAATCAGAATTTCCTCCCGCAATCTAAAACAGATGGCTGTCCCAATAGGTTAGTGTTTCCTAGCACTGCATTTTTGGTGTACGATGTCCCAACGTAGCCACACGCTTGCCACAGCTCCTTCTTGTGTTGCAAATATTAAAACTAGCCCTTGACAACACCGGCCATGGCAAGTTCAAAAAAGTTCCATTCCTTTGTCCCCGGCCACAAGCAGCTGTTCACCACCTTTGATCTCCTGCCGTATTTCAGATGTCTTTTAGCCAGGGCCACCCGGGGGGGGGGCAAGTGGGGCAATTTGCCCCAGGCCCCTGGCCCCGGAGGAGCCCCCACGAGAATATAGTATTCTATAGTATTGCAACTTTTTTTTTATGGAAGGGGCTCCTGAAAATTGCTTTGCCCCAGGCCCCCTGAATCCTCTGAGCGGCCCTGCTTTTAGCTGGATAGCAATCCCAGCAGTACCGGATTTCTAGAAGCCACGGCTTCCTTGCAGTAATGGAAGCTGTAGTAACTGCATCTCCCTGGGTCTGAGATTTGTGAAGCTACCACCATCTAGTGTTAAAAATAGGTCTTCATGAAAAGGAAACCATTGCATTCCATTCAAGTTGAAATATTGGGGCTGAATCTTCAGCTTCACAGCAGCTGAGGGTTTGACTCTTGCTTTTAGCTGTAGATCAGAACAATCCGGATCGCTCTACTCATGGGGAGGGATAGCTCAGTGGTTTGAGCATTGGCCTGCTAAACCCAGGGTTATGTGTTCATCCTTGAGAGGGCCACTTAGGGATCTGGGGCAAAATCAGTACTTGGTCCTGCTAGTGAAGGCAGAGGGCAGGACTCGATGACCTTTCCCTTTGAGTTCTAGGAGATGGGCTATCTCCATTAGGCACCCTGTAAAATACACAGGGTAAAACAATTCCTGTCCCCAAGAGTTTGTGTTAAAATTTAAGATAAAATGCAACAGGCTGGTGCAATAAGCATTCAGAGGGGACGAAAGAGGAAGGAACATAGTCACATCATTGCAAGGGCTAGCAGTTTCAACTCAGGAAGTTTAAAGGTAGAAATAAACAAGCATTATTAATAAAAAGAACAGGAGTACTTGTGGCACCTTAGAGACTAACAAATTTATTTGTTAGTCTCTAA